TTTTTTTTTTTTTTTTTTTTTTTTTTTTTTTTTTTTTTTGGTTTTTTTTTTTTTTTTTTTTTTTGGATGAGGGAAAGTGGATTGCCATATTATTATTAGCCTTCTCTTTTTGGTTATATGTTGAAAACACCATAAAAATTCATTTTTGTTTCTGCATTTTTTCTTTTTCTTTCTTTCTTTTTTTTTTTTTCCCTTAGTTTTGCTATAAGGCACATGTGCTCACCAGAGACCGACAGAGAAAGATAGAGGGAAAGTGAGAAATCATGTTCCAAGGCAGATGCATTCCCTTCTCGGGTCTCTTCTAGTGATTTTGGGCACACAGGCACATGCACAGGGTGTGTTATTTAAGCCATTGGGTCTGGGATTCAAACCACACAGTTGTCCACGAAGGATTCAGTACCTTAATCTCCATGCCATCTCTGGCTGCCATTCTTTCTTTCTTTTCCTCTGAAATTCTAGAGCAGAAAGAACAAATCTTTTCCCACTTCAGAAAATGAGGAGGAACCATGAGGCATTTTTTTCTTTGTTTCAGGACACTGTGTAATTAATTCATGACTAGGAAAAATGGAAAGAATGAAAACATGTGTGTCAGGTTATAGTGTGCAGGGTATCCGCAAGAAATGAGAGATTCTATTAACCACGTCTATATCAAACACTAGAATGTAAGGTTATTATATTTAAATATGTCCTAGTCGCATATCCACCTTATTCATGATGAGCTCTTTGAAAATCGACAGTGTTGGGTAGACCCTGTAGCATAGTAGTTAAGAGAACTAGATCCTCCATGGCCGACCACAGTTCAAACCCCAGCCCCAGGAGATTTAAAAACGCATTAGGCATGTGCGTGTGCGAGTATGTCCCAAATCCCCACAAAATGGGGAGAAGAGATTGCTGTGTGACCATACTCATGGAGGGATTGCTTTCTCTTTTTTCCTCTCTCTCTGCCGCCCTAAAGTGAATGCACATGCCAATTTGAAAAAATCAGAACTGTCTAAGGATGGGAGAGGAACAAAGCTTACAGTCTTTTTGTGTGGGTGACTTGCGCGTGGCTGTTTTCATTTCTAGGTTTCTCCAGGATTCTCAGTAATAAACTCATTAAGGTCAAATGTTCTATGAGATTCAAAGTTTCAAAGACATAGGGGTTTGCTTTCCTTTCTCACCTGCCACAAAGAAATATTGGGTGTGTAAAAGCATGGTAAGGCCTGAAACAACATAGGTGTGAAGCACTCGTACCTCTAGTGAATGGTCACTAGGTGTCGCCATCTTCCTCGGAATGAGAGACTTGGCTCTGGTCTCACCATACCATTGAAATCCACTAGAGCAAAATTTTCTAGATTTCAAGGAAACCATCCTTTCTAATAATAAGATAGTAATTAGTAGGGAAAATAGCATAAAATTATTTCACCATTTAGTGAAACTATGATCCTAAACTATAGAAAAATGTCTTTTTAAAAGCTCATTCAGTTAGTGTAGAATAATTTGGGGCTCTGTTTCTGCTTTGCTTGGTGGCTGGGCCTGAGGATGACCTTGCCTTGTTCCCTGCTCAGTGCTATCACACTTGTCATGCACATGGTCAGGGGTCCACAGTCTTAGTCTCCTGTGAAGACCCCCAGTACACTCTCCAGGGCAGCTTATAGAAGATCTCCCAGCGGTCAGTGAGAAGGTCCTACACAAACTAAAGACCCCAGGGTCTCCTAGTAGAGCGAAAGACATGTGGTATCCTGGGGATACCTTGTGTGTGGGCAGGAGATTGGACACACTTCAGGCACCTCTCATACAATCCAAATGTAGTTCACTGATAAGAAAATGTAGACTTAGAGCAATTTTGTAACTTTTTCAAAGACCAATTCAAAGTCAAGTAGGTTTCAAATCTTAGGTCTGTTTCTCTCCAAAGCCTATACTCTTTCTACTACATTCAGGTGCCTCCCATGTTTGCCCTTCAAGTGGCCAACTATTAAGGAACGTGGAAAGGAATGGTGGATAGAAATAGGAAGATTATTATTATTATTATTTTAATTATTTTATTCACTTATTTATTTATTATTATTTTTTTCATATGGGTTTTTGCCAGAGGGAGAGAGAGCAAGCTGCCATGTTCAGGACTCGAACCATGGTCAGCCAAGTGGGAATTCCAGCGCCTTAACCACCATGCCACCTGCTGGCCTCAGGAAGATTATTATTTAGGGGACATAAAAAGGTAGAAATTCACAAGATCTAGAGCCCTCTTTACAGTTCAACTCTGTCATTGGAGAGGAGACAGCCCATGCAGATGACAGGCATTGTCAAATGGATGTTTTCTTAACCAATCATGATAAAATGAAAATGAGTTTGGACAAATGGTAGTGTAGCAGGAGGCAAGCGGAGGATTCCCTCACAGCCATCATTCACCAGAGTAAAAATAGACAGGCTGGCTTCTCTTTGCTATTGTTTCCAAGCTCTGCATTGCGAAAGCCTTCGTATCATTTCATATGACAGACTCCACCTCATCCTCTTACACCATTGTGTGATTTTCTCCACGAGCAGAAATAATTATTCACAGCAGACCAGAGCGAGGACCAACCTTTGTAATTACTGGCTACAATTCTCAGATTTAGTCTCGTTTCCAATCAGCTCTAAGTTAAGGCACCTAATTCCAGGTTTGGAGCATTCCAACCAAAGGCTATAGATGCAATTTGCTAAAATAATTTCTTATTAAGAGCCATTGCAAATAACTGTAGCCTGACTTTCATTTGTGAAGTCCACGACTCTGCACAATAAGTACTTCTTTTTTTTTCTCCCTGCAGTTTTTTTCTGCAATTGGCACTTGCTACAGGGGGCCCTATATTCCTGGGAACCACAGCCCAGCATCATTAAAGGAGGTATTATTTTGTGTTTAGTAGAGCACTAAATTGGTGATATATAGTTGTGATTCTTGTGCTGAATATCCATGTTACCATGGCAACAATATTATGTCACATTAGGTTGCCCTGGGTGTTTCTGGGAGCCACCAGGTCTCCATAAACTCCCCATTTACTTTGGAGACCCTAATCGCCTGCATTTATGCACACAGAATAGAATCAGGCATATTAGGGCTACGATGCTGAGAATGCACCCAACTCTGTTATTATGTCAATTTACTACACTTTCATGAAGCATTAGCATGAAAATAACATACACAATTAGTAAACTGCAAATGACTAATGCACTTCTATTGCACGAATTTGCCTTTTCATACTCAAAATACTTACATGAGCTTCAAGTTCTGCACTATCAACCACCAGTCTCAGGGGTCTGTGAGTGACACAGGGACACATACATACAGATGCACACATTTGCACACATACACATGCATATATCCATGTGCAAACACGTGCACACACACATCTGCATGCATGTGCAGGTGAACACTCACACACATACATATGAGCATTATATACAACCACATATATACATATGTATGCACATATACAGGTACATATACCAGAGTCACTTATAAACACATATACATACATTTATACACACACACCACAGATATACCCCCCCACACACACATATACACACACACATACAAACACACAAGGGAAAGTCGAAAAGCTTGTGAAAAAAATGTGAATAAAGTGTAAGTTTATTTTGGTGCAAAAATTTTAAAAACCTCTGCATAGTTTTTTCATAATACAGGTACTTTGTATACACACACCTCATGCACACACACATACACAAACACACACCTTATACACATCCACAAATACTATCACATATACACGCAACACTCCATGTACTCTTCAAAGTAAGCCTCCATTATTTCGGATATTTCAGTATGAATGAGGGATAAACATAAACAGAGCTATGTAGAGAGACATTTCCTCATTTATAGTAGCTGCCTGGCTTCTTCCTTACAAGCTCCTCCTTCCCTGATACATTTGACTCCTTTCCCTTCGTTTCTCTTCCAAGATGTTGTTTTCTTTCTTTTCTCTTTATGCAGCCAGACATGGCTCACAGAGCAGGAACTGTTTCATGTAGATGCGACTATCCTCACACCAATCAGTCTGGGCACATGTGCCATGTGTGTTTGCACATATGTGTGCTGTGCAAATGAATGCATGTTTATGAGCATGTTGTGGAATAGATGGAGGAAGAGGGAGACAATTTGGAGAGGGAGGTAGAGGCAAAGAGGTCAGGGGACAAAAAAGGAAGAAGGGCTTGCTGGGAGGAAGTATCACGGTGATATAAGAGGAGCAGCCCGGGAGTGTGCAAGTCCTTTTTCCCCCTTGCCTCATAGCATCACATGCTCTGGCTCTCATTTTTTGGACCAAAAGCTCAAAGTTCTTACTGGCTGACTTCCCATCAGTTTCAGTCTTCACCAATGAAAAAGAACCCTTGGGAGAAGATTCTGAATTCTGAATGGAATGAGTAAGGCTGATTGTGACAAGGAACCTCGAGTTCTAGTCTAGCTGGGAAAACACATCCCAGGTGGCCTTCTCACCAGCTCTGGGCTCTCCCTGAGGGGGTTTCCAGGATGGGGTTTTCTACTGGGTCTTTCAAAAGTCAGCAATATGCCCAAAACCTTCTGGAAAATACCTTCATCTAAAGAAGCCAAATTAAGTGAGTTTTCTTCCTCATTACTCATTTTGAACATCAGTTAAAAACAAATGAAACATGGTCAGTTTTGTAATAGCAAATAGATGGCATTCTCATGTCATTAAAAATACATATTTATGGAACCAACAGTTAACCACTATGTCGCTGGACTCTCATGTAGTCGACTGCGGTTCGAGTCCCGGACATGGTGGCTTAAACTCATGCCGGGTGTGTGTGCATGTGTGCCCAAGATCCTGAGAGGAGAATGGAGGAGAAGGGATTGCGGCATGGCCATTCACCCTTGGGGGGGATTTCTTGCTCTCTGTCTCTGTTTCTCTCTGTCTTTCCGGCACGTACATGCACCCTATAGCAAAAACCTCTAAAAAAAAAAAGAAAAAAATACATATTTATCATTATGTTTAATACTGTCATACTAGAAGCAGGTTCAAAAATTACACAATGACACGGATATGCTGTGTTTCACTGATGCCATTAAGTGAGTCAGTGAAAGTGCAAATGATTGTATCCCTGGTAGCTCTGAAATTTCAAGAAGCTGACATAATACCCAAAATACTTCCAAGTTACAGTGATCCATGAAAAAAACTAGCAATTTTGAGAGTTAATAAATGAAGAGGGGAATATCTGAAAATAAAAATTGAAGAAATTACATAATTTCTGAAGGTGCTAAAGTGGGGATTAAATGTCCTTGATAAGCATGTGGTTTTCTACCCTTTTCCATAGGAGATAGTTTTTGGAGTGGAATACATTTTGTAAATTTATAATATCCTTTCTCACAAATAAAAAGTGTTCCAGTCAGAAGGTACACTGAAATTCTTTTGTGAAATTATAACAGCCTTATTTGATAAATGAGGGGATCCCTGCAAAAGGACATGAGTTTCTGCAAGATCACGCAATTCTTTATGACTTTGCAGTCCTATTTCCTAAGTATGGTGTTCTTAGGGAGGTCACTGAAGCTGTCTTTAGGACTTGACAAAGATCTTTTCAAACAATACACATGGACACAGCTCCTGGGTTAATAATCTTCCTTTGTTTAGCTAGGCTTTATATCCACACATACTAGTTATTACTTCCTTTTATGTCCATAAATTAAAGCTGTGCTCTCTCTTCATTTTTGTTAGGTCATTACCTGCAGGGTACTTCATGTAAGTGAGATGATTATTGGTTTCATCCTGTTCTTCAGTTGTTTTTACTTAGTGATTACCGGCAATTTCGCCATTACTGCAGGGCACAAGTTCTTTGTTTATTTTAGCAAATTTTCTTAATAGCCTTAATCTGCTGTCAAGTCAATAACGAGTTTCTCAACTTTCATGTTAAATAAAATCTTTTACTGAAAGGATCTTGATGAAGTATTGGTCTCTAAGTACTTAAACAGACTTGATTTTTTTTTAACCTTTTATCTCATGTGTTGTGATACCAGAACTGGGTCATTCTCAACCACTTGGTTTTACAATGCTTTCACATCAGCTGACCTAGTTCCTATGCCCTCTTCTTTTAAGAACATAGACTTTTAACTGGGGCACTGCAGATGTACCAAGAGGTGAGGCATTTCTACGTGGTCAGCTATGATAGATGCTGAACATCTATTGCAAACATGTGCCCTCTCTTCATCTCAGGGGCCAGGCATTCCCATTAACTGGTTCATTCCTTGGAACTAAAATCTTAAGTTTTTAAAAGGCACTGCTCAGGGAACAAATGACTCAATAATAGTAGCCTGCTGGGTGATGGGGTTATTATGTTTCTCCTTTCCCTGGGGTCAAACAGGGATGGGGATAATACTTTGACATTGGAGTAGGGAACATCCCATCAGTCACCATATGACATGAAAACCAAGGAAAACCCGAGTATCCTAAGCCACAGAGCCCCAGGCCATGTTGGTGAAGCTGGGTTCTAATTATTGAAAGGCCTCAGTGAGGATGAGTTGGGCAGATGAAATCAACAACAGTACAGGAATTCCAAGGCAACTATCAAAGCCAAGGAAATGTTAGGGACTAAAAGAAAAAAAAAATTACACCATGAGTGATTGCTCAGAAGATCCACTACTGTTGTTAGTCAAAGACTTCCTGCCAATCTGGCTTTGATTCATGAATGGAGTGGGGGGCCACAGACCTGCAGAAGGATAGCATGGAGAGGATAAGGCCTCGCTCTGGAATAACAGAGCCTCAGTAGGGGCTTCAAGACATCACCAAGTCACATAAGGAATGGGCTGGTGGTGGGAGGGGAAAAGCCAAGGCTGAATGAGTGGACTTTATGACTACAGGTCTGGTGACAATATATATAGTTACATGGAATGGTGTACTAGTGAATCCAGGACTGCATGTGATATCCTAAAAAATTTGAGAGATAAGTCCTGACTCCTCTGAAATGAGTTATGATAAAATGAAATGCATGAAACATGGTTCATTATTGGGTTTCCATAGTTCAATCTCTGAGCTCTGACACTCCTACCGTAAGGGAGACAAATGAAGGGCATGACATGATCACTTGGCCTGATTGGCTTTCTTATATTCTCACTGTTAAAATTTTATTCCAGGTAAGGCTTGTTACTATTTCAACCTCAGTTGCTGGGCATTCAACATTCTTGAGCTCAGAGAGGCCATGATCTGGGCTGGAGTTTTTATTTTTGATATATGTTCTTAAACAAAAGTCATTGCTCTCTGGAAAGTAATATTAAGAGCAACTATTTCTCTGTACATCTATCCTATTAATGTTACATAAATGCACCTGATATCAGATTAAGAGATATAAAGGGTGATTTTGTGAAACAGTTGGTAATATGTAGTCTCTTCCTCTAGAAAAAAAGAATAACTTAGTTTCTGAACACATACTAAGCCCCAGTCATGTAGAAAACACTGGGCTATACATCATGGGGAATGGAGAGAGGGACACATCCTTCTTTTATCTCCACAGGAAGCTTTATACTCAGGGGAGATAAGTTCATAGGTTGAAATCCTTGTAAACGAAAAAAATTAGGAGAAACAAAACAGTACTAAAAGTATAATAAGAGTGTGATGTAGCTAGGTATTAACTTACTTTCTTTCTTTCTTTCTTTCTTTCTTTCTTTCTTTCTTTCTTTCTTTCTTTCTTTCTTTCTTTCTTTCTTTCTTTCCAGATGTTTTAGCTATAGGGCACACGCGCTTGCCAGAAAGACAGAGAGAGACAGAAAGCAAGAAATCACCCACAGGGCTGATGGCCACATTGCAATCCCTTCTCCTCCATTCTCCTCTCAGGATCTTGGGCACACATGCACACGCACCCAGCGTGAGTTTAAGCCACCGAGTCCGGGACTCAAATCACGGTCAACTATATTGGAGTCCAGCGACATAGCCATTACACTAACTGCTGGTCCCTTATTTATTTATGTTTTACAATTTTGTCTTTTAAAATTTTTGACAGAAGGTACATGAGCTCAGAGGAGGAGAGAGAGAGAAAGTAGAAAGTGAGAAAGGACCCCTCCATGGGGAATGGCTAGATCACATTCCCTTCTGCTCCATGTTCCCTTTTTTTGTTGTTGTTTTTTTTTGTGATTTTGGGCATGCATGCTTAGGAACTAGAATGTTTCTCAAGCCATTGCATTCATGGTAGACCACTATGTGAGATCCAGCCTCTTCAATCATCATACTATGGGCTGGCCCCATTATTTTATTTGAAAATAATTTATTCTTATTTTTTATTTTTTTAGAGAGATTTTTGCTCTAGGGCATACGCACTTGCCAGAAAGACAGAGAGAGACAGAGAGACAGAAAGCGAGAAATCACCCCCCAGGGGTGATGGCCATGCTGCAATCCCTTCTCCTCCATTCTCTTTTTGGAATCTTGGGCATATATGCTCACACACCTGGCATGAGTTTAAGCCACTGGGTATGGGACTTGAACTGCAGTCAACTACATGGTAGTCCAGCAACATAGCTATTATGCCATCTGCTGGCCCCTTAAAAATAATTTTTATAATTTCTAATTTACATGTGATAGTTATATATATTTATGGAGTAGGTGTGGTTTTTCAAAACATGTACATGCTATGTATTGATCAAATCAGGGTGATAAACATATCCACTATCTCAAACACTTGTTTTTGCCTTGTGCTGTGCACATTTGAAATTCACTCTTAAGTATTTTGAAATGTACATTATATTGTTATCAACTGTCATTATTCTATGTGCTGAGTACTCTAAAACTCATTCCACTTTGTTAATTGCACTCTTGTATCTGTTAACCAAGTTTTCCCCCATTCCACCAGCTTCTTCTCTTTCCCACTTCTGTTATCTGAATGCAACCCCTATTAAAATACTAATGGAATTCTTCACATAAACCCACATAAAATACTAATGGAATTCTTCACGTAAACATAAACAGAAAAAAATCATAAACTTGAATAGAACCACAAAAGACACTGAATAGCTAAAGAAACCCTGTCTGAAAAGAACAAAGTTGGATGCAGCATACTACTTGACTTCAAAATATAGTATAAAGCTATAGTAACCAAAACAGCATGGTGCTGGGGGGAAAACAAACAAACAACAAAAATAAAAACCCAAGGGGGAAAAAAAAACCAAAACAGATATAGAGACCAATTGAACAGAACTGAGAATGCAGAAATAAATTTGCAGACATAAATATAACTTGTTTTTGACAATATTCCAAGAACATTCACTGGGAAAAGGACAGTTTCTTCAATATATAGTGCTCAGTAGATTATATAGACATATGGAGAATAATGAAACTAGAACTTTATCTCTCACTATTTACAAAAATTAACTCAAAATCAGTTAAAGATTTATATATAAGACCCCAAATAATAAAATTATTAGAAAGAAAAAATTTAAAGAAACACTTCAGAACATTATTTCTAGTCAAAGTTTTTTAAAGTAAAACTTCAAAAGCACAAGCAGCAAAAGCCAAAACTAGATAAATAGGATTACATAGAATTAAAAACCTTCTGCACAGCGAAGGAAACAGAGTGAAGAGACAAACTACAGAATGGGGAAAATATTCACAAGTTTTCCA